ATACAAATAAAAGATATAACACAATTAAAAGGAAAGCAAGAACTTCAGTATTGGACAATGAAGGCAAGGAGAAAAGCTAGGCAAAATGACAGAGGCAACGCCATCCATTTATACAAACCAGATGTGTAAAGCAATGATCCTGAGAGACATAAGCAGCTTCTTGAAACTAGCAGTTAACTGGTAGGATTCTCACCCTGACTAACTATATATGCTGAAGCCTGTGAACTAAGCAACTGCACTCAATATAGTAATATGTAATAGAAATGTCATGCTTGGAATGCCTGCCATTCTAGTCTTCTAAATATGTACTGCTTGTCATGAGATAACAATTATTGCCATAGTGTCTCTCAAGTAAATGTTTGCTTAAAAAATGGGGGAATAAATGAAAAAAAGAGATGAGAAAAAATATATAACTGCACTGTCCTGCTACAATGCTGTATATGTTTAAATTTCTAAATTTCTGTGCAAAAATAAGTGAATTGTTTTTTTTTAATTTTAAAATATTTTCTTATTTTTTTACTCTTTTTCTTCATATTCTGTAGAGACTTAAAAGTTTTGTTTTGTTTTGTCTTGTTTTGTTTTGTAGAACTGGGAATTGAAGTCAGGGCCTTGCACTTGCCAGGGAAGTGTTTATTCTGCTGAGGGATCTCCCTGGTCCAAATTTTGATTTTGTTTTTTTTGTTTGTTTGTTTGTTTTTGCGTGGGTTCTCACTACACAGTCCACATTAGTAGTGATCTTCCTGATTGCTGCCTCCTAAGTGATGGGATTACAGGCATGTGCTACAATGCCCTGACTCCATCGCTGGCTCAGCACACTCAGGCACAGGGCCAGCGCAGCATGCAGAACCAAGGATCGAACCCTGGCTCCTGCGTTTACCTAAGCAAGTGCTTAGTCTGCTGAGCTATACTGCCAGCCTTGAGACTAAAGTTTAGCATATCAATACTAGATGGAAAATACCTGTTCCATGTTATGCCTAAAATGTTTGATATTCAGACAGACAGCTGGGTTAAACACAACTGCATATGTTGTTGGGTAATAATAAGCTTCTCTCCTGGAGAGTTAACCTAAGTTTGCAGACCAAAACAAAGAAACGAAGGGAGGCAAGGACAGCCAACATTTTGGCCCTAGCCTTTCAAGGTCAGTGAGGACTCATGACATAGGGAAACATGTACTGTGACATCATGTAACTCAGTTGTGCCCCAAATTTTCTGATCAAGGAGATTAGGAGGCCACAGAGCAAGGTGATGGATGACGTAGAATGTGCCTAAGGAGAGTCACCTGGAGAGAAAACATTCTCTCAGGCTTTTACAGAGAGAAAATTGGTCAAGCAATGGCTGTGACACATCCATATGGCTAACATTTACAAAGGATCTTCAAACTGCAGTACAGGGTTACAGGATAAATCCTAAGGGGATTTGACTGACCTTATCAGATACAAAAGTTACATTTCTGGTTATAAAGGTCTTGCTTTATCTTGGTCTTAAAGACCAGCAGAAAAGTATAAAAATGAGGTATAAAAAGTAAAGCCATATTTATATGCTGAGCTGTAAAAGACTCAAATCAAAAACTTCTGATATTGCCAGTCCTATGGATAAACCACTACTATTATGGACTACTGGACTATATTGGATTATTTACCTTAATTCTTGCACCTACAATATTAAAATGGCAATGGAATACTGATCTCTAACAAAACTAAACAAAAAAAGGGGATACAAAGGAAGGACAACTATATGTTTGTATATACAAAATAGTTAGGATAGCTATACAGTTACTTTCTCTTAATTCTATGAGAAGAAAGATTTGTACTAATATTATTTAGACAGGATATCATGTCTGCATCTTGTATTGTGAATAACCACTAAGAAGCTAATCATATGCAATGTATTAATTATTAAAACTGTCCTATTAATCGCTTTTGAAGCTGTTTCATTGCTGTTTCTCAGTAGAATAAAAAAATAAAAATTAACCTAATTCATTGAAGCAAGATCTTATGTATATCCTAAAATAAGTATGACAGGGGCTGGTGAAATGGCTCAGTGGTCTAAAGCACCTACTTAGAACAAGCTAAGCTAAGCAAAACACAGGGACCACGGTTCAATCCCCCAGCACCACATGCCAGCCAGCCCCGCCCCCTGGTGGGCTGAGCTGGCCACACACACACAAAATAAATAAATAAGTAAATAAATAAATAAATGGTAAAAAAAAATAAGTATGACAGAAGAAACACTACTTAGTATGGCACTTTAGGCTTCATTAATAAATCAGTATATTTGCTTAATCGCAAGAAAGTACCTTCATGCTGTTGAATTTTACACATTGAAATAACATAATACAATACAAAAAATATGCCTAATTAATACTTGGATTATACTTATTCTCTGAGAAAGCATGGCTCTCAGTCCTGTGACCATAAACTTAAAAGCAGAAATTAAAAGCTGTACTTTGGTACTCATAATTATCAGTCTGCATCTCTTTTTATCCTAGAGGAAAGAAAGTTAACTTTTAACATAAATGATTACAATTTAAGATTCTCAAAAAAGATAAGTTGATATAACTAGCTACTCAACTTAATTAGAACTTAATAAATAAGAAAAATAAAAATCATTAAGTCTTTATTAAGGCAGTTTTTAGAACTTCTAAAAGAAACAAGTGGTTCTACTTTGGTTCAAGTTTGAAGGTAATTGCTAGTTAACAAAGAAACTCCATTTACTTTGGTCTATGACTGCTGCAAATCTTTCCAAAATGTATTAGTTAGGCTGTGGTCTACTTTTCCTATAAGAAAATTTCTATTAATTGAAAATCAAAATATGCAGGATTCAGCATCTACATTCTTAAAATTAACACCTATTGTGCATTCAATAAGTTGATGCTACTGAAACTGATATCTTAAATAATTTCCTACAACAATGTTCCAAATTTCCTTAATTCTGCACAATTTTTAGCAATGCGTATAACCTTGACTATTAAATTATTTTCCCTATTCTATTATCTAAAACTACAAGGTACTAAAAATAATGTTTCTTGCAATTTTCTTTTAAGAAAAAAAGGAATTTATCTTTCCCATAAACGGCAGATTAATGGATAGTCCAAGGGCCAGTATTTGGGGTTTTTTTGGCGGGGGGGTGTTTTGTTTTTTCAGAACTGGAGATTGAACTCAGGTCAGGCCCTTGTGCTTGCCAGAGAAGCACTTATTCCCCTGCACTATCTCCCAGGCTCCAACGGCCACTATTTGTAGAAAACAGATTCCTTCAGGTATTAAGACAGAGGAAGAGGATGCAGCCTGCTGGATCCACAGTGATGAAACAGCTGCCTTCCAGCTCTGTATACAACGCCATGGCAAATGAGCAATGCTTATTAATAACATCCAATATCCAAAACTGAAGGAAGAAGCACTTTGACCTACTATCTATCCTACCCTTGACATAACTGGTCTTCTCATATAGAATTAAAAATTTAAAACATAAAAATATAACCAATAATTAAGAATGACACAGTCACAATGTAGAGGCAATCAAATTGTTAAATTTAACAGAAATCTTAGGATGAATGTGTACACAAGATAACTGTATTACTGTATTATATAATAATAAAGCACCTGATTAAGCACCTGCTTTTGTTGGCTACACTCGGTATTCCGATGACACTGATTCTGGTGTGATGTGCTTTAATTTCTATTTATAGAGGAAGTTGTTGAGGCTCAGAGAGATCAAAGACTGGTCCAGGAGCCAGGTACCACTGATGGGGTGATCCATGGGTCTGGCCAGGTACTTGTGATGCTCAGCCCACCTCATGCTCTACAGTAGTGCTTAGAATCAGGCACACATTTGATAAAACTACATCTATTAATACTTTTCAAATGAAAAATGGTTCAAAACTGTTCAGACTGTGCTTACTATAACTGTATATTAAAGTATACTCTCTCAGGGATATTGAAAAGATAGTCAGCAGGTAGCAACTTACAAGGATTATTACTAAATAAACATTCTTTGTATCCCTCACATTTTGCTCAGGGAAATTTCCTTTAACCACAGAGTTAGGCTAGCAAAAGTAATAGACATTAGAAAATTGGTTAAAAAAAAAATCAAAATTTCCTTTCTTCTCAATAGAGAAGAATCTACAACAATCATATAAGAATGTATCCCTTTTTTATTTTTTTTTTTATTTTAAGGAAGGGTCTACAGGGTACTGAGGGTCTCATTACTAGATAAGACTCATAGTGATCCACATGTTTACAGCCTCCCAAGAGCTGGGTTTACAGGCACGCCCAGTCTCAACTGCCATCTCAGCTTGCTGCCAGGGCGGGCCAGCACAGCAGGCCTGGGTATTGAACCTCTGGCCCCTGCGCCTGCTTGCAGATGCTTTGATCCGCTGAGCTATTTGGCTGGCCCAAGAATGTATATTTAATATTAATTCACTTTCAGATTTTACTAAAACAGAAATACAAAATTTTCATGTGTCATAATTTCCTTGACTTTAATGTTTCTTGTTTATAAAATTCTAAGAAAAATTGCATTTAGATTTCCTTCAAATAAGAAAAAGAATCACAAAATAGATCTTAAGGTCAAATAATATAATTTATTTTCAAATGTATCTATCACCTTAGTGTTACAACACAACTTTTGCCATGCCATGATAGCTCATTTGAGAACATTGTGAATATCAGAAATAATTCTTAATTTAGATACCTTTGTAGAGCATAAATATTTTCCAATTTTAACACAAGTTAGAAAAACATTTTCTTATGGAACTTTTAATAGAATTTATAGGTAATGTATTTGGAGATATAATAATGCTGTGGAATAAAATATCTGTATTATATACATATTCTTCTATTCATTTTAAAAAGAAAAGGCCTCTTTCATGATTTATAAATATAAAGGCCTTTTGCTACCTTCCCATTATAGACAAGAACATAATACAGCTTCTACCTCCTAAGAGGAATTGTTCCCACATACCTTAACCTGTCTGGCTAGTCTATCGTGTCACAGGTGCCTACCTTTGAAGTGGACATCTCTGGACATGTCCACAGGTGCTTGTTCTATGGCTGATCTCTTGTAGACAACATGAATTCTCCCTCTTTCTTCATCCATCTGCTTACCTCTTTCCAATGGTTCAATGAAATATTCTTCATTATCACTTTTTATCATTCCAGCCTAGGAGGAGCATAAACGTGTTAATTTAAAGAATAAATAACATCTTCAGCTCACAAGTACACCTTTTCAAATAGAAAAAATATAATTTGTCAAAACTTTTTTCTTTCTACATTTGATGTAAATTTAAAGTTTATTTAATATTATGTGTAATTCAAATAATGCAGAAATTCATATTTGACAAGATGAAAGGACCACCCACATAACTCAGCAGACTAAAGCATCTCTTAGGCAGGTGCAGGGATCAAGAGTCTATCCCTGGCACCACATGCTGTGCCAGCCCCACCCCTCAGGGTACCCTGAGACAGAGACTGAGACTGGGTGTGGTGGTGCACACCTATAATCCTAGCACTTGGGAGACTGAAAATAGGATCAGTAGGAGTATGATCTGTGTAGTGAGACTCTGTAGAACTAGATTCTCAGTTAAAAAAAAATAATGAAAAGGTTCATATAAAGTAAAATACAAAGTTTACATAGGGTAATAATAAAATCACACAATGTGTATATTTCATGAGACTACAAAAGTTGACTTATATATTCTACTTGAAGTTTGATCTCCAAAAGAAATCTCACAAAACACAAACTCAAAAACCATCTCCAATTTCCCATGGTAACCCAGTATTAATCTGCTGCTCCAGTTCTTTAAATATTTTTTGAGTCACTGACCTCCTTTGCCTACATACAGAATGAGAGAAATGAGTTTCCTACTATACTCCAGGCATTTTGATCTTTAAATTATCTCTATAAGCTTCTGTGGTTCACACTTCCAAATACTTGTCAATTTGAAGAACACATATTTTTCCTATCTTAATATGACTTTATGACTATATATATATATTTTTTCTCAAGTTGTATCTGTTATCTCTTTCACTAGTCTATTGGTTGTCATCTTCTAATGCTACTGTATCCTTTGATTTTTCAGAAAACATCAGGACTATATCTAATATTATGAAGACAAATAAAAGAGTTTTGTTTAAAATATGTTCTTCCTTAACTATCAACTTCACATCCCAAACAGTTGCAGCCTCACATTTCTACTTTAAAGGCTATATACCAACATACAATATTAATTTATAAACCAACTTATCTGTTTGAAATCAAAGTTAATGAAATCACATATTAGTATATAAATTTATCTATTTTAGAAATATATGTTGGATGGTGAATAAGTGCTAATTATTTTTTGAAGTCCTTAACTTCCTCTATATTTTCACAATTGTAGTCACTGGCTGCAACAGAACACAGGGAATGGAAGTCTCTGTTACATTAACAGTAATGTTGATCTTCAAATATGCACTGTAACCAATAGAGCTTTCCCTCACCTGACTAATTACATCTCATCTATTCTTGCACCACAAAGCACAACACATGTCTCACAATTAACATCAATTCTTTGTGGGAAGTGGCTGAAGCTGGAGATCATTCACATGTGCAGGGCTGAGGCCAGACCCAAGAACAAGAGCGCCTGAGGTAAGCCACATGAAACAGCCAGGCACTTGAGGAAGCCAAGCAACAGGCTGCTAGGCAGTGATGCCACATGAGGTTAAAGTTTGTGTCTAGCTGTCCCTGCAATGCCTCATGTAGTCACTGGGGCAGGCTTCTAGAGTTTGTAATTAATTCATGATCCAATGTTGGAATTATGGCTGAGTGCTATACCTGCCCTGGGGTGGATAGCCTGAATACAATATAAGGAAGGGAGAGAAGCTTTCTAGCTGAAGCAGCTGCTACTCCTCCGTTTTGGCTTTTTGCTGTTTTCCGCCACCATAAACTGCCTCTCTCTTTCATGTGCCACTCTGCCTTGGAGCCAGCGGAATATGGACTGAAATCTCCACTAACTGTGAGGAAGGAAATAAACCTTTCCTTCCTTCATTTTGGGTGTTGGGTATTTTGTCGCAGCAATGAGAAAAGTAACGAAGACACATGACATCAACCTGCTCAGTGTACAAACAAATGTGCTACAATCCTTAAGAAGATCTTTTTTTTTTTTCCCCACCCAGAGAAAGGGCTCCACTTGATCTCAGCTTTGTGTTTCTTGGCATGTGTCTTTTGTTTCTTCATCCTTCACCACCTTCTACCCCATGAATTTTGCAAACTGCACTGGAAGAAGCATTTATTCTGGAAGAACACAGACTGAAGATATGAAGAAATAGCAGGTGATACGACACCTAAATTATATGCACAAAAGGGGAAGAAGTGCACTAATGGCAGCAATACTGAATACAGCACACTGAATGCTGATACAGAATCCTAAGGTGTAAAACATGGGCCAAACAGGTTCTCAAGAACCACAAATGTATACAGAAATGCTTGCTGTACTACTGCTTCCTGGATTTATCTTTCTTTTTGTGTTTGAACCTGAATTAGGGAATGTCTCAATGATTGTATATTTGTTGAGATGACCATAATGGATTTAGCTCAAAGTGTTATTTTAAAGCTAGGTCCCAAGCCAAAAAAGAAGAGTGGAACAAGAACACCCCCCACACAAATAGTTTGAACACTCTAGCTTTGCTCAATCAGATAAGCAAGAAGCTGGAGAACAGCGGGAGTGTTTGGAGGGTTTTCAACATATCTGTCCTCTTGCCCAAGTTCAGCATCCCAATATTTCAGACAAGTTATAAACCTTCAAGAAGCTGTAACTTTAAGGCTTTAAAAGAACTAAAACAAGCAACTGCTATCTACTGCCCCACAACCCTTTTTATCTTAGGTTTTATAGATCTCATAGGACAAGAGGTTATGGTACTAAATGATTGTAAAGGAATAGCCAAATAATGTTTTAAGTCCAGAGCGTAATTTACTGTGGAAGAGAAATTGTTTTGATTCATGTGCAGATCAGGCTACCTGCACAACCTGTGGAGCACAAAACAATGTCATGGGGAAAAGGGTGAGGGCTGAGCAGAAAGCCCCATGCTCCAGCCTTACCTGGACTCACCAGAATGCCCTAGTTGCTCCCACGCCCACCAGCCACACCCATGACCTCTTCCACTTAACACTTGCCTCAGGCTGCAGAAGCTGCAGCAGCCCAAATTGGGGGAAGGAGAAACCAAGAAAAAATGATGGCTATAGCTACACAGGCAGGGACCATGGTGTCCCCCAGGGAGGAGGATGCCAAGAAAGCCTACCTGGAGACTAGCCCATCACCAGCAGCAAGACACACACTGACAATTTCCAAGTGGAGAAGCATTGGTGCCAGATGGCAAGGTTGAGGGGCAGCATTGCCCCCCCAGGCCAATGAGCTTATGCCACTTCCACTGCCACTGCTAGAAGATCTTGTTCATGGCTCCAACACAGCAGAGCGGGAACTGCAGCTGTAAGCAGGATCAATTAGCAGGAGCCCCAGGAACCCAAATACAGGATACAGGACTTCTGTACAAAAGGCTAAATTACAGGCTGTTACATGGGCATTGCAAAATTTTATCCATTTCAATTAACCTCTTTCCAGACAGCACTTATGTTTGCAGTGTGATGTGCCACATTGAAACTGCCACTATACACACTGACCAAGAAGATCTTTTTCATTTATCTCACACTCCAACTTGAAATTCAGTCATGCCATGTCCCATGTTTTATCATTCATTTATAGATTCATTCTCAATTATCTAGGCCACTCATTGAGGGAGATGCTACAATAAACAGACTGTTGGCTACTGTCACTGTTGCTTCCTTAGATGACATTCAATAGGCTTCTGCCTCTGATGACATTTTCCCTCAAAACACTTCCACTTATGCAAACAGTTCAACTAGAGAACAGGCTTGAAAATTTTTTTATAAACATTCCTCATATGTAATATATCTTCCTTCACTCCCTAAGCCTTAAGTATTACGATTTGTCTCTCTATGCTGGGTCCATGTTTCACTATACACTTCCTTGTAGTTTATTTTTGCTTCTCACACTGTTGAAACAGCTAAACATGTCATTGCTCACTGCTTACATGTCATTAGTACCTTTGGCTGCCTGTGGGGACTTAAAACTGACAGCAGTCTAACTTTTACAAGTGCTGCCTTCCAAACATTTTGAAAGACTTTTCATATACCCTTTACCGTGTGAATTCTTAATAATCATCAAGGTTAAGAAAATGTAGAATGTGCTTAACATATACCCAAATTTCAGCTATGAAAACAAAAGGAAGAATTCTTCCCTACAAAATTCATGCTTCATAAGAGACTTCACCTGGAAGTTTATGCCATTAACTTTTTAAGTCCTACTAGGGATGAGACTATGGCAGCGGAAATTCAATCAGGTAAAGGAAAAGAAGCTAGGAAGGACCTTTTTGGTTTATTTGTTTGTTTGTTTTTGTATTTTAGGGAAGGGTCTACAGGGTGTTCAGGATCTCACTACTAGATCCGACTCATAGTGATTCTCCAGTTTGTAGCCTCCCAAGTGCTGGGATTACAGGTATTTGCCACCATGCTCAGTCTCAATTGCCATCTCAGCACATCCCGGGGGTGTGGCCCACACAGCATGCCTAGGAGGAAAGACCCTTTGGAAAGATCTTCATACTAGACAGTGGAATGGACCCAGCCCAGTGCTAATTTGGGGTCGAAGGTATGCTTATGTCTTTCCAGAAAAATGCTCAGCAGCCTGTCTGGGTGCCAGGGTATGTTGTCTGGCTTTATCATTGACCAGAGAAGAAGCTGATTCCAACTTTCAAGCTGATTTTCAACTTCCAACTTTCATGCTTCGTAAGAGACATGCTGTTTGGAAGGCAGCACTTGTAAAAGTCAGCCTGTTGTCAGTTTTAAGTCCCCACAGGCAGCCAAAGGTACTAATGGCACCAGTCCTAGCCCAGGTCCAGTGAGTGTGTTGGAGAGCTTCCTGATACGCTGCGCCTGGCGGGACCTACTACTGGTAGCAGCCCAGGCGCAGCATGGGTAAGACCCTCTTGAACCCCTTGGGAAAACCCCCACTACTCCGCAGCATGTCCACCACCCCGCCCACTTGAGTAGGAATTTCTGCTGCGTTCCAGGAACCCCCAGACCCAGTCCTAGACCAGGTCTGGTGAGTG